TCCGCTCCCGAGGTCCGCTCAGTGAAGGGACCCCGGCAGCTTGGACCCCCTTTGGAAGTCCCTGAAGGGTATCTATCTGGGTATGCTGCTTCGGGGGAGAATATGTGCTCTTGGGATGCCGACAAGCTACCCAAGCTACCGACTCCGACTGTACCTCACCGCGCCTCGACGCGCCATTAGGCCATGCCCCCATCCCTCCTCGCCTCCCCCACAAGTCGACAGGTGATTCACTGCAGATACACAGCAGTCAAGGATGGACGATGCACCAGAGACCACGAGTGACTGTCGGCCAACTTGTGGAGCAGAGATGTCGTGGCTCCGCACGCGCTCACTGGCACTACTATTATTTTATTAGACGACAGCGAGTCGGGGTGAGAAGGAGAACGCGAGGAGCCAAGACCAGCGAGGGCGTGAATACTCGCGCAGAAGCGATGACTTGACTTGCTGATGTGACTTGCTGGCCAGTGATGACAGGCGGCAGGCTTGCCAGAGAGGGGGTTGGAAGCCAGGGCTCGACAGTGTCGACGGTGAAGCAGTCCAAGTGGACCACAAACGTAAAGTACGCATTTGCAGCAAACACAGCCAAGCCGTTGAAGGCTCCTCGGGCCCCCAAGCGGCGGCATCGCAGGAGGCAGGCAAGCAAGCAAGCAAGCAAGCAGGAAGGCAGACAGGGTCGGTAGGAGCTGCTGCCGCCGTCCAACCCCCGTCCAAACCCCCGTCTGCCCAAGCTGCCATCCCAGCTTGTCGGGCTACGAGGGCCTAGCAGGGATCAGGAAAAAAACTGCCAGGCCGCCTCTGAGAGCCATTCCATAAACAACGCTGGGTGGGCTTGGGGCCGGCTCTGGTCCGTGGTGTCCTGGCAGCCTGGACACTGCCTACGGCTAATGGAAGAGAAACCGCAGAAACGACGAAGCCGTTTCCTCTGTTTCCAGAAACAAGACGACCCAGACAAGCCAGAACCCAACGGCCCACCACCGTCTGTCTACCCGTCCCCATCCCCGTCCCCGTCCCCGTCCCCGTCGTGCCCATCCCATCCCAGGTTGCATGACCTACCTGCACCTCTTCCCACCCACGCACCCATCATCCATCCGCCATCTTCTCTCAAGAGTCAAGCCCAGAGAGCTTCCCGTCTCCCACATATGCACATCGACCCCTTCCCGTACTACCCTCGCGCGATATCACCGTGGCCGTCTAGCGAGACCAGTCATCGAGAGTTGTATGCAACGAACCATAAGGCGGAACACGGAGTTCCCATACCTTACACGTACAATATAACCCCAGGAGCCCCGGCAGTCGCATCTGGGGACTGGACTCATTGGCCTCTGCCGTGCTCCCGCTGCGATACCCGTCCTTCTCACATTGGCTGGCTCTCCAAGCTCGCCCTGCACACGAACCGGAGACGTTGTCGGATTGTGGACGGCCCAGCTGTATTTGATTGGCGAAGCGTTGCTCTCCCAGAGACAGCACAACACGATAGCGCCTGACTACAACCCCACGAGACTCCCTCCCAAGCTATAGACAGAAGCCGGAACACGTGGACCACCGCAGCCAAACGAACGCCCGTCGCCAGTGGTACACGTGTGAACGACCACAGCAACTGGCCTTCTCCAACGACTCGACAGAACCCAAATTGAACCGACCTGTCCAAGACGGAGAACCGGTGTACATATCTCAGGCGGGCCGAGCAACTCAATCTGCAGTCCAATTCCTATTATGTGGAGGTAGACCGCTTCCCGGGGGATAAAAGGTTCAGCGGTAGCAACTGAGTTTGATGCTGCAACGCGACAAAGCAGCCGTCCCGACTGACGTACCGCCGTATCCTATCCTGGGTGCCAACCCCACCAAACAAGAGCCGTTCCTCTCGCTTCCCGTCAACAAAAGCAACTACCTTATAGCACACCACTGAACCCGACACGCTCGTTACTCGCCTCCAGTCAGTCGGCGACCTGCTCGCTGGTCTGCGCTGCACGCCATGGCCCCCAAGCTGAAACCGTTGATGCTGCCGCAGCTGGTGGAGGAGAGGAGGAGAAAGGAAGAGGCGACCCAGTTCGAGACGCTCGATTGCGACGCCGTGAATCGCGTCTACACGACCGATTCCTCTTCTTCTGACGCGACATCCCCCGTAACACCGACATTTTCCACGCGCGGCCATTTGCGCTACTCCTCCTCCATGTCTTCCTTCGAATTGACGACGCCTGCGGGTTCTGACGAGCTGCCCGCGTCACCGAAGCAAGCCACCCATACGTCGAGCAAACGAACCCTAGAAAATGTTGAGGAAGAGCCCTTCGAATACGACCATTTCGAGGACTACGACGTCGACTTTGACGACGAGTTCTCGGACCGCTATATCTATGATTGTCTATGTAAGTTTTCTTTGACATGGAGCGTCTTCCCAAGATGGCTTCTAATAACCATGGCACCAGGCGACGAACCGTGCCTGCACAGGGACGCCGACATGACGCAGAGCACTTCCAACTTGTATGCGCAGAGCAGTGAACTTGGTTACGACTTTGGGTGCCTCAGCGACAGTGATTTCCACTCGGCTCACCGCCCAAGGAAGCCCAGTAACCCAGACTCGCCCTACGCAGGCTTTTCGCAGCGCTTTGGGTCGCGCTTCGCGACATTAAGGAGATGGAAGCCGGCCAGGAAATCGATCAACGTCAATTCTCCAGTATCGGACTTTGGGGTGTTTGATGCACGGCCCGCGGTATCCCGTGCAGCATCCCGCGCGCCTTCAAGCCGCTCTTCGTCTCTGTCCGCGTCCGGGCGATATCTCCCAGACCGCACAAACGAACCACCTCTGCCACCTACGCCAGCGCTTTCTTACTACGGTAGTAGTGACAGTGTCACGTTGCCCGGTCCATTGGATGTTGAAAGAGCCAACGACGTTCTCTTTTCCATCGAGCGCGAGCGCGCTCAAGCGACCACGCCTCTATTGCCGCCTTTGATGACCGCCTCGTCAACTGACCAGACTACGGCGCAGCCCTCACCCCTGGAATCACCCACAATAGTCTCTCCTCTTAGCGACGAGCCGCACTCACCTCTGGTTCTTTCACCACCGCTCAGTACGAAGCCATCGATCTCTTCGTTCCGTCAAATGCCATGCTCCGGCGAGCTCCCTCCCATGCCTCCCCCGGATGCATGGTCCGACATTCTGGGACACGCCAACTTTACGATTGTGCCTCAACCATACAAACCCGAAGCAGCAAGTCTGAATTCCCTCCGAGACCTGCGATCGGATTGGGAAGCCGCTCGTGTCAACTACACAAAGCACCTAGTTCGCACTGGCGAGCACTATGGCATTACTTCCAAGACCTATAAGTTCACAGAGGAGAAATGGGCTGAGACTGAGCGGAATTGGCGCGCCTTCCACGACGAGGTTGCAGACGCGCTCGTGGCTAGCGGCGAAGCCATTATTCACGACAAGTTTGACGAAGCCGTGCCGACAACCGTACCGCGAATGGACGCGGAAGGGAAGTTCCCCGAACGTGGCGACGTGGACATCGTGGGACCGATGGTTCGCGAGGCCGCGATGTCGCCAACCGGCATGGCCGATCGGAAGCGCCCTGGCTTTTGGCGCAATTTGACTGATCGCGTTGGCCTCAAGAAGTAATTCTCATATTTTCACAAAACGCGATCCGATCCATTCGAGCCCACATTTTACGACTTTTAATGACCCTTACGACCGAAACGCCGCCCACCCTCGTTTGAACGCGTTGCTCTTTTTAATAGAGAGATACCACTTTATTTTCGGCGTCAGTCTATTCCATCACGCGCGAACACCATCTGAGTCATCAGGTCACTTGTTCAGCGCTCGGCACATACCTCACAGGCCACCTGCAAACTAGCATGGCCCATTTGCATATATTCCGTGGCATTTTCAAGCGTGTCTCGTTTCGGTGTTGAGGCGCTCAAAAAGGGCAATGTACACTCACCACCTGGAACAACAATCAAAACGCGAGATAACGCTTCCGAACACACCTTGCCCCTACGGTCGGGTCACGGAGAAAACCAGTGCATAAGTTTGGCTCACAACTTGAGGCAGCTCTTCTGGAGATCTGCCTTGTTCTGGGCCGGCATTGTTGCACTTGGGATACGAGCAGGCTCAACGCCAGCTTCGGATAATCCTTAGTGTTTACCGATTTAAATTTTATTGTGTATTGGCGTTTTCTTCCGGAAAAGATGGTTCGGCGGCGGCGGCGGATTAGATGCTTCATTCGTCGGTTGCTGCGAGCTGAAGACGATAGAAAGCACTGAAGTATAGAATACACTTAGTGGGTGGAGGAGGAAAGAGGGTGATCATACCTTGCTGGATACCGCGGTTCGTTCCAGCCTCCGGCTTTGAGGATCCCAACTCACTGTTGGGGTCCCTGAGGCGTCGAGGAGAGATAAGACATATTGTAATGATATATCCAACAAACGGAAAACCCACCGAAGACAATACAAAATATGAACAATCCCAAGGCGTCCTCCCAGGCTATGAATGTGAGAATGAAGGGGCAGTGCTCTGGCCAAAGCTTATTTCCAGAAAACACGATCCCGTCGATTTACCACACTATGCCGGGTGCACGCTGGATTTTGCTGACTCGCTACAGCAGCGTACAGGCGACGAGTAAGCGGCATTGCTAAGGTACACACTCAAAGCTACGAAGGTCTCTTACGGACGGGATAGGTTGGGTGTCTACCATCCGACCGATCTAGTACCCTGTACCTACATGCAAAGTCCCACCTGGTACTCTTGAGCGCCGCGCTTCCACAACGACCTAAAGAAGCCGCATCGGAAGTGTCTGTACCTAACCACCAGCAAACCTAGAGCGCTGCGCTGTTCTGAAGTTAGCCCAGCCTGGTGCAGGAGATGGCTGCATCGGGCTTGCGTGACTGAGGCGGGTGTTTGCCTTCGTCAAGCATTTGTGCTCTTAGATTATATATAATTGGTTAAGTTAAAACACTGTCACCAACATCCAGTAAGCTGATCCTTCAGTGTACTGGCATCTTCAATTGGTGAGATGGCCGAGTGGTTATGGCGCTGCGTTCAGGAAACCTGAGCAAAATTCGCAGTGGAGCAATCCGCGTGGGTTCGAGTCCCACTCTCATCAACACTTTCTTTTTCCTCATCACCCACCTACCGCGGATGGATGAGTGGTTTTCTTTTCTCCACTCCTGTCTGCGAATTCCGCGTTCCGCCATGGTCTGCATGATTTGTCGTCCAGTTCTGCGGCATCAGGGAAGATGTCTTTTTATTTCTGTGCCTCGCTACTACCTAGATGTTCCAAAGTCTAAATCGCCTGCGCCTAGAACCTTGAAACGGCCCTTGTTTGCGGCTCGCCCATCGGTTGGAATAAACATTATCAGCACATCCACCCTCTGGTACACTGCCAACCTCACTCGCAAGAGACCCCGACAATTAACTATCCCAAATTCGCTGACGTGACAGGTTCGCATCCTCCCACGTGACCAGCTTTTCCTGATTCCACCTTTGCCGTGCGAAAAGCCGACTTGGAGGAAAGACATGACTTGGTAGTAGCTGAAGATGCCAAGGCCGTTCGTCTCCCACGGTCTCAGCAACGACCACAATTTTCACGTTGGTTGATGCATCTTCAAGCACGCCAACCATCCTGGCCAGTTGATCCACGGTCTCAGAAAGCTTACCCTCTGCCACGCATAGGTCCAGGCGATCGATGATGATGAAAATGCGCTCGTGCTCGGCTGCTATCCTGGAGAGCACCCTGCCGAGCAGCTCGATGAGGGAGTCAACCGACCATGCTGGTCCGTCTGCTACCAACGTCCGTTCCAACTCCTCTTGGCTGGTGCGAAGCACCGCCGGCTCCCACTCGAGCACCTGAAGTACGAGGGACGACAGGAGGGTGGCCAGGTCCAGAGGCGCCGCGGCGATGTCCGGCAGAGCCGAAAAGAAGGCCGTTCTGACACCGCCACCACCACCACCACCACCATCACCGCACTGCTGCTGGGCATACCGCTGGGCATACCGCTGGGCGTAGATCGCGAAAGGTGACAACCAGCTATGGTTGAGCCCCGTCTGGTGCCGGCCGTGGTACGCGGTCCGGCCGCTGAGGAAGAGCAGAGCCGGCCCCTCGACCTGGAGCCATGCTTGGTACTCGGACGCGTCTTCGAGAAGACCCCGACTCGCCTGCCGGTATGCCGTGCACGGAATGCGCTGGTTGTACGGCTGGTCCGGAAAGACTATCTTTAGGGCCTTCAGCGTGCTGCCGACGTCCGTCCCGGGGTGTCCTCGGCGAGCCTGCGGCGTGTTGTCAGTGCTAATCACATGGGTAGCGCTGCTCATGCAAGTCCCACCTTCAAGGTATCTTCGAACGCAGTGAACCGTCTTTTATCGTCTTCCTGGTCTCGCTGGTCCGATAACCATCTTTGCTCCTCTAGCTCTTTCTGGAGTGCGGCGTTCTTTGCGAGCAGTTCTTGTTGGTCTTGCTGTATAACTTGCGACCTTTGATGTAAGCCCATCGCTGCTTCATCGCTGATCTTGGCCAGAACATCACGAATTTCCACCGCCATATCGTCCAGATTGATCCCCGCGCCTGGAAGAGCCAGGGCAAATCTTCCTACAGCGACAATCAGTGGTATTCTTAGCCTTCAGGCTGGGATATGCGTACTGGAAGAACGGCAGAGGTACTTCGTAGCCTCTCTTGCAAAAGTCAAGATCTGTAGGTACGCCTCGGATATTAAGTTCTCCATGGCTTCAGTGGGGTAGATGCTGGTCCATTTCTCTAGCCGAGGAAGTTCGATGCCAATAACCTCGAGCAAGTCGGTGACTTTATTGTCGTTCTTCACTTTGTTCACCCAGACCTCGGAGGCCCATTAGGAAAAATACCACGAGGCTCCCATTTGTGGCTCGTACTCACCGAAACCAGCAGGGAGAGTGTCTGGTAAGCAACGGTGCCATACGGCCCCCCTAAGCTTGCCACAGCCTCCACGACGGGGGAGTACCGATCCACGAACTGAACGAGCACCGCCATGCGATCTTTGGTGTCACGTTTCTTGTCAGCCTTGGTGGCCTGGAGAGCCGCAGCCTTCTTGAAATGCTCAAGTGCTGACATTCGTCGAGATACGTTGCCGTGCCTGGCATCCTCGATCTGACCCAGCAAACCGCACTTCGTGGAGGCCAAGTGCAAATTTCGCCCTGCACTTTTGGTAGCAACTGCCTTGAACTGTTCGTGTTCTGTTGCCAGCGCTTCTCCTCGAAGGGAGTCGCCATTGCTAGATAGCTCCGTCAGCATCGCCGCTATCAGCCGTCGCCAAGTCTTCATATAATTCTTACAAGCCGTTGGCGAACCATTTACTGGGCTCCGCTGCCATGGTGAAAAGACCGGGGCGCAAAATGTCCTTGTGTACACGTTCGATGCCGCTGAATCAAAGACGCCCTGGGGGCTGCCAGAGAGAGAAGTCCTATCTACATACGGAAAGCCATCGAGGCTCTTCAACTGGCTTTGCTGATCCGTCTGGTAAGGCTCCCAGGCAGCAGTGCCTCGATCGGTCGGCTGCCGTGCCCCTCGCGTTCACGGTTCGGGGGCCCGCATTCAGGACAACGCTGCTGAACAAACCGGCGTATGAACCAATCGCGATCAAGAATCTGACGTGGAGGGTTGCATGAAGAGGGGGTGTGCGTTGAGAAGAGGCAGGCTGTAAGCCACGGCTGAGTGAGTCATGTGTAGCTGAAAGGCTCGGCAAATGCTGGACGATGACCTTGTGTATGAAGAACAGCCCCCTCCGTCGCCCAGGCCATAAATGGAATGGCAAGCTTCACCGAAAGGACGGGGCCGTCTTGATGTTGGCCTCGAACCACCCAGCTTCGCCTCCGTCAACAAGTCGCGATGTTCGGCACGCAATACCTGGTAAATACGGCTCCGATGGTTTCTACACTATGCTTCTAACATAACGCTTTAGCACAGGGTTGGCCAGGAGGCTGTGCTTCAGCACAAGTACATAGAGCTTCTGGAGAGCAGGATAAAACAGCTGGAAGGTGTGATAAGTGAGTCAGCCGCCAAAAATGGCGAGGACGAGGACGATAAGGTACTTCCTCTCCGAGTTACTTTGCCCCCACACCATGGGCATCACCTTGCTAACCTCTCTGTTCTCCTCGCAAAGGCAGTCGATTCATCCAATACCGACGAAACCACATCGAGTGGCCGATATGTCGTTGCCCTCCGAGAGTGGGATCGTGCAACTGCGTCGTACAAGGACAAGAACGTTGTTGATACCTCGGAGAAAAAGAAAGATACAGCCGGTATCGCATACATCTTTCGCCGGGTAGTCTACATGCTGTGGAATGGCGAAAAGTCGGTCTACACCGAGATCGAAGTCAAAGATCCGCAACTGGTCCAGCTATTGAAGACGCAGATCGACAGCAAATATCCTGGGATCAATCTCGATGGCAGTGAGATCTACATGCAGACCCCCTTTCCGGCCATCGTATGTTGAAGCTTCTAGCGCAATGGGACTACTGCTGACCTCTGCCAAGATTCACAATTGGGACAAGCTGCAACAGCGCGCTAAGCAGGATCCAGATTCGCAACCAAGCAAGGATCTTTCCCATCTGCTAAGCCGCGTAGAGAACGACGATGAGCTTGTAGATTACTTCAAGACACGCGAGTCAAACCTTGGCAGCAAGGTCACAACCTTCGAGACCCTCTGGACTATCTTCCCCCCCAAAACTCTCGTCGTGGCAAAGCCCTACAATGGCATGCCTCAGTTGCTGCAGGTGCAGAACCCACCGTTCGCTCCCAACAAGTCCGAGGCAAGAAACTTGCAGAAGTGCTCACTCACCGCGTGGAACTGGGATTGGAACGGGAAGAGGATGGTCAAGGTCCATTACGGACTCCAATTTAAGCGTTTCCGAGGCACAAAGCCCATCAATGAGCTCGACTACTACCCCCGTAAGTGGTCCCCTGAAGTTGTCAGGACCACGCCCATGATTCATGACGGTCGAGATACAATATGACACAACTTGCTAACTCCGTCGGCACAGTCAGCTACCACTCCGACCCGACATTGTGTGATGAGATCAGGAAGCGATCCAAGATCTACTTGTTCGCCACCAAGTTTTGCACTCCCGGCGCTGGCCAGAAGAAGGTGTACGATGGGCTGGCCTACACCACCAATAGAAGTATCGTCTCCAGTGAGAAGGACAATGAGCAGGTAGGTGGAGCGGGAGGTGATGTCTACATTAGCTTCATGATTACTGACCTGCGCTACAGGATGAGAAATTCACGGCCGACGAGGACGACGAGGACGACGCAGAGAACTCTAAGCTGGTGCCCGTATGTGGCTGCCCCAATCACTCGTGTCTTTCGCGTCTAACAACAACAACAACAACAACAACAGATCAACGGAGAGATTATCTCTGACGCCCAAGCGTATCTTCAGTACGGTTTGTACCCCTCATTCCCACCTCTTTGCATCTCTGCAGTCTACTCAGAACTCATAGCTCATAATCGCACACAATCGTATGCACTGGGCAAATGGGACGACTGGTATATCGAAGTACCTGTGTCCGAGATCGAGGATGTCTTCATGAACCTCAAAGCAGAGGACATAAAGAACGGCGTGGACAAGACCAACGACAACTTCCTCATCGTGCCTCCACGTATCTTAGGGTATTCGACCCGTGAGAAGTTGTGGGGACAGTTCAATGTTGCAGAGACCAAGGACCCTCCCAAGCCCAACAAGGACAGCTTTCGAACAAGCCTCCAACTAGACCAAGAGTACAAGAACCTGATCGAGGCACTGGTGTTCTCGCACGAACAGAGAAGCGGAAACCAGATCGAAGATGTAGTCAGCGACAAAGGAAAGGGCCTGGTCTTGCTCCTTCATGGTAGGTCTCGCTACAGATGACTCCACGCAGCACCTGAAGCTAAACTCGTCAACGCAGGACCACCCGGCGTTGGTAAGACTGTAGGTTTGCCATTTCCAAGCTGCCAGAGCCTGGGCTGACTGCTGCGCCGGACAGTTGACAGCGGAAACCATTGCGGAAGCCACCGGAAAGCCACTGTTCGTGGTCAGCGTGGCTGAAATTGGGCTCAAGGCGGAACTGGCAGAAAGGAACCTGGGCAAGATGTTCAAG